ATCAAAGACCACTGGTAATACTAAATATGAGTTGAGGGTTGAAGGAATATTTCCTGAGTGGAGACTATACTTCTAAGCTCTGTGAGTCTGTTATTCCAACAAATAATGCAGAATAAATTTGGTTTCTAGTTAATAAAGCACCAACTGCTGGCACAAACTATAGGAGAGGAACATTTTTTCTCTCAGTTAATGCGGATGGCTGCTTAATGGGAACAGAGAATGAGTGCATTATCTACATGTAACAATGGAACTGCAATGTTCAGAACAAGCACATTATTTCATATTTTGTGCTGTGATTGTATCACATTAGACATAATGGGGAGTTAACAGCATACATATGTAAATCTCTACTTTTCCTTTGTTGCTTTATTTATTGTGTTTGCTCTTAGTCATGTTCAGGAACATTATGCTGTAATGCTGCTCAGGCATGAATCAATACTTATGAATTACAGTGCTCCTACTCTAATGGCAAGCTACTGCAATGCTGTACCTAGCTTGAAATGTATTTAGTGCATATTGAGATGATGGATACTAAACTACCCGTGTACTTAACAGGACAATTCTGTGTAATTATATGTTAAATGTATGGACTATACATACATACATATGACACAATAACTGGTGTGAATTTTAATATACAATGTACTGTTAGTGTGGGAAAAAGAGGAACCTTTTTCTTTATTACATTTCTAAGAAAGGATCCTCAATGTGCTGCAACATCACTTTCTTGATCTCTGGTTGCTATGGTGATCTTATTTTGTTTAAATGTGGTATTATGTGTGCTCATTGCCAATGTTCAGTTCACCATTGGATGACACACAAGTAAAAAAATTATAATTATATTTTTCCCACCTATTTATTACACTTCTATCTACTTCTCATCCCTTGTCGACTCTTTCTTTCTTTCTTTCTTTCTTTCTTTCTTTCTTTCTTTCTTCAGTGCCCATTTTCTTGTTTCCTTCCTTGGCCTCTGCAATGCCTCTTATTGCCCTATACACAGCATTAATAATTGAGAGCATTTTATGCAGACAGTGAGTTTTGGTGCCCTGAGCTCTTTGGTCACGGATCCATGGCACTAATGCTGGGTGGCAGGCCAGTTTGAAGCCCCACACTCCAAGTCCAGGCTAGGGCACATCTGTCTGGCTGACTGGCCAATCTATGGCCCCCCGATCCCAGAGCTATTATGCACACAGCTGAGAAGGACACACACATGTGTGCATGCACACTTTGAGGATTCACAGACCATTTACTCTGTGATCTGTAATGCTCACATCACACTTTTGCACCTTTCTACAACCAAAGGCCACAGACAATGACTGACATTTTCAAAACCCTAAATAACAGTGAGCCGCTGTGCCCTCTCTTCTCTCTTATAATCACTATAATTCTCACTCACAGACACACCATCATACACCCTATTGTACTCTAGTGTACATGAGATAGAATGGTAGTTTGTATAAGAAAGAATTACACAGTAAGAGAGAATGATGGCGTGTGAGAGTGAGACTGAAAATATGTCTGAGAGAAGTTAAAGTGTGAGAAAGAATGGGAGTGTTTTGTTTGAAAAAGAAGGTAGTTTCATTGAAAAGGAAGGCAGTTTAAATTCTCAGTTTCTGACTGGTTTTCAGCCTTCTTAAAAACCCCTTTACCTACTACAATAAGCGGCATTCCTTGCAATGTTATGGCTTCAAGGAGAATTTAAATCAAGCCACAGAGCATTGAAGGACAACTTAAAATTCACATTTTGTTAGAACAAAAGCAAGGTCACCAGAACCATGATTTGTCTGATTACTTACCGTCTCCACTTCATGGTTTTAAAGGGCTGCTAGCCAACCAGCAACAGAAAGTGCAATACTATTTACATTTCAATCAAACTCACTCTCCCACACAGTTATTCTAAGTAACATATACTGCCATTTTCTCTTGTATACAGTATACTATCATTCTGTTTAACAAACTCTACTACTCTCAATCGCACGCAGTACATTATTGTTTTCTCTTACTGTACAGTTTTCTGGTATGTCTTGATTTATTCATGCATATTTTCACTGTGTTTGTGCAGTCTCTGTATACTCACCCAAAACAGCCAGTGTAGTGGCTGTACATCTGCTAGCTAGCTAGTTTGTGTGACTCTAAGTAATCACAAAACAGAGATAGAAACAGACTAAAGCCCTAGTTCGTTCTGTAATTTTCATCCAGCCCTTTTGTCTTGTTGTTTCTGTATGTTTATGAAGTGTCCTCTTTCTATTGATTCTGTATGCAATGTCACTTCCTCTAACATTCTCTTTGCTTTCAGTTTGAACATGTTTAGTTACACCGTGTATATAAGAGTGCATATGACATTTACATTCAATGGCCTCTTTATTGGGTACACCTGCACAAACTATTGCAATTCAATACAGCTGCTTGGTAACAATGGTAATCTAGCGAGTGGCTGGTTAAATATGAACATTCACTAGCCATTTGCTCTAGTGGACAAAAAAGTGAATTCTGCTCCCTGGGTGGTGTTGTACTGGACCACATTATATTGAGAGGTGTTTCAATTTTTTGTTCTCCCTATTGACATTCATAAATGGTGCAGATAATTAAAAAAGAGAGCCACTGCACACATGCCCCTTGAATTGGGTTGTGGTGGTTGCCAGGTTGTGGTGGCAGATTGAAATTGTATGCAGTGTGTGGGCTGTGTCTGATAGACAATCTGGCAAATTGGGTGACGTTATAAACATCTCAACTCGTACGACGATTAATTATAATAAAGTTCAGCGGATGCCGGGAGATGGCCTTCAAATACGGGAGAAATGTGTTGGCAGGTATGAGTAAAAAACCGCTAACTATGATCTCAATGGTAATACATGTAATTTAATTAACACCTCTCTGAGAGTGCAACAACTGAACATTATAAACACCATAAAATGCTTATTTTAAACTGTATTGAATTGCATGAGTTTGTACAGGTTTGCCTACTTGGCAACTGGTGGCAACTGAGTGTATGTGTGCAGGAGAGAGAATGTAGATTATGATAGTGAGCAAAATAAAACATTATTGTGGATATGAGAAGGTATATGCTAGTATGGGAAAGTACAGTGTGGCTATGTGTGAGAGCAGTATATGATTTATGAACTATACCGCCACTAATAAATACAGAACATATGTTTCATAATGCGTATGCAAGTATGCGTTCGAGACGAAAGGGAGCCAGAGCACAGAAGCCGAGGTGCAGGTGTGCAAGTGAACCCGAGAGAGTGTGTTTATTTCTATGAGATGAAGGTGGGAAGGGATGACGGGATTGAGGGTGGATGAGAGGGAAGGGAGGAGGGAGGAGGAAGGAGCGCTCCAGTCCTGTCGCCTTGGGTGCATCAGCAGCAGGAATTGTTCTCTGCCCTGTGGGGGCCATCTGACTGTTCTGTCACCCTCTACAGAAGGCTGACTCTGCCTTAAAGTGCTCGGCCCCGTGCCTGCAGTTCGACATGCTTGATGTTTAATACATACACAGGGAGAATATTGAGAACGCCTCAGGAGAAATGCAGTACACAGGCTTTAAGGGAGAGAGTTTTTTGTCAGTTTGTAGAACGACCAAGAATAGAGGAGCTCCTGTACAAAGTGTGCGTAGGCAGGCCGTGAACATAATTGCCCAGAATTCGAACCAGAGCTGGAGCTCCATCACCAATTTGAAATATACGAGATCCAAGAGTTAAGCACCTCTTAACAAAACGCACTTGTGGTGAGTGGGGGACAGCTTCACACCGGTGATTGCGTAATACACTGACTTATCTGTGCCAGGAAATATACATCACGTTCACACATGAGGTTTCCGTCAACATAACAGTGAACTTATCACGTAAGCTGAAAATGCCTTGCCCAGTGTGCTCCTGTACTCCCGCAATCAGCATGAGTATAATTCAGGGCATCACTCCTCAATAAGGCAGGAGAACGGGCCTCAGGGGTGACCCTCCTGCTTAAGTCAACACAATGAGTGTAATGAGGTGAGATACACACTCATAGGCACACTCATACACACACGCACACACACTGGAGATGGGAACCCTTGCTGCATAGTAAGTGGATTTCATTCATCTACATGCACTGAGCCTGCTGTAGAAGTTCTACTCACACCCACACATTCAGCAGCACAGTGAGCATTTCACTCCATGGCTTATTACAGGTGAGAATATCATTACCACCTGATTTAGAGGTACAGTTGTGGGAAGAATGCTGCTTTCTATACTAAGTGATTTCAAGGTATTAATTTACATCAAACATGCATCTTAACAGACAGAACTTGTATTTTGGTAATAATAATCCTCAATGCCACCGATCAATGGTGAAAATTAAACATTACACTGAGATTAAAAGCCAGTTTCTGTTTGACATGTCTGTGTCTCCTCTAGTGCATCTAACAGTCAGTGAGTTCATCAGTTCTGACTCCATAATTAATCAACCCTGCTGTGTAAGTAGGACTGGTGCCTTTTCTCTTATCATCACGTACAGCAACCCACGCCCTCCGGGCCATCAGCGGATTAATGATGAGTGCCCGTGATAGGAAAGCCCCTCACAAAGGCTTTATTAATTAGCCTTGCACCGACACCGTGGCCGCAGTGTGCAACACATGTTCACTCTAATCAAAACTTTAAAAGGGACATGATCGACCTCCCAATCACCCACTGTAATGCACTGCATGATATTAAACCTTGATGCGTGCATGCATTAAGTTACGGGTGTGTGCAAAGGGGGTGGGAAGTGCACCATTTCCAAATTAGCAAGGCAACTTTCACACATCGCTGGCCAACCGGTTATGCTGCACTTTACTAAGAAGCCCATGAATGATTGATCAGACAGGTGGGATCGAGTATGGAATAATTCAGAGGCGATAAAGAGAGACAGGCGCGCTGAACGCTCCCAAAACTGTCCAGATGTCACCAAAAGTGGAACCAAAATGGAAGAGAGAGAGAGAGAGAGAGAGAGAGAGAGAGAGAGAGAGAGATCAGATGTGTTGTACTCACTCGCCCCCCGGTGCGTTAGAGGAGCATCCCGGTCTCTCAGGGCCAGCTCTTCAGATGAGTTCTCCTGGGACAGCGCGCCTTGATCCTCACTATCATTCTTTGCCAAGCTCCAGCCTCCTCACAGCCTCACCTTACTCTTCTTCTTTTGACATCACATGAAAAAAACAGCTGCATGCCAAACGGAATTCGCCTTTAGTTGTTGTATCGGGGTTACAGTCGTCCGTCCCTCTGTATGTGGAGCAGAAGTGACAGCGGCGGATTCCTATTTGAGGGGATGCTGACGCGCAACCGGAGGGGCTCGCCTCCTGCCTTTCTCATCTGGCTCCATCAGCTCTCGGTTAAGGCAGCAACCATGTGACTGAAACCACCGTCAAGACGGAGAGAATGGGAAAGCTGGTTTCCGGTAGATTATTTCAAAATAAAGCAATTATTAGTCATGTTTGGCCAAAAAGCATTATAATGAGAGAATACAGTAAAAAAAAAAAAAAGAAAGAAAAAAGACATGTTTTGCCCATTGTAAACATATTACTAGACCTATAGCAATTTGAAACATTTAGGCTATATGCAACTCAGAAAACTTATTACACAGTATTTATAGACAGTAATTGAGTCCTATGTGTAAGGTTTTTTATTGAACATAAGGAACAAACAAGTTAGGGAATATGTATACACATCTGAAGGAAATAAATCAATTTACAATGGTGGAAATGGTACTATAGCACAATTGAACATAGCAGCAGACAACATAGGTAACATATACTGAAAACAAGAGAGATAAAGATAAAACAGGTAACAAAAAGAAAAAGAAAAAGAAGGAAAACAAACATCAATGAAAGTTTTGCTACTGCAAATACCAATGGCAATCCCTCCTGCAGGTTACAGCCACTAGGGCTGATGGATGAAATCACAAAATAATTAATAATTTGTTCAGGTTTTGACAGTATTTATATGTATATAAAAAATAAAAACAAATTAAATAATGAAAAAGTTTTTCAATGCAGTAAACTGTGTTTCAGGTAACTAACATGTTCTCATTAGCTACTAACGCCAGCTAACTGTACGCTAACATTAGCCGCCCATCTGGCATGAAACAGGAGCAAGTAAAAGTAAAGGATTATGTTTTTGTACACCGAAGGAAGCTGAAAATACCTGTAAAAATTGGACTTATATTCAACATTTACCTAGTTGTTTGTCAATATGTTAGCCACTACAGTTTATGCCGGATGCCTTTAATTGAGTCTTGTGCCCTCTAGTGGTAAAAAAAAATTGCTTAATAAAGAGACTTTTTAAAAATGCAATTTGCTAAAACATATAGGCTATGGCCTCATTTTCCAAACAAACTGTTTTTAAAGGCCAGACCACTAAGCTATAGAAATGAACAATAATAGCTATTTAGAGAGTGAACCCTGATCCCTTTTTAGGCACGTTATGAGGCTCTCCTGCTCAAAATCTACGCTTCGATCAAGAGCTATTGGGAGATACTGAGCAATAGCCTACCTAATCAATGTACAGGTATGGATTTGATATGAAAGAGATGGAAAGAATTAAAATTAGAAGCTGCAATTTTTAAGTTGTTCTTCATGAAAATCTTACATTTTACATTTTACATTAGGTCTGTTCGTGTTTATCACTCAACATGACCATGGGTCAGGTTAGTGTCTCCCCAACTTCCCAGCTTCTCTGGTTCATACAGCTGTTTTGCTCTCACATTTTTTTCCCTATCCAACTTATGTAATTAGATCATAGACTGCAGCTAATCTAGACAGTGTGAAGGTTAGGCTATTCTATTTATCAAATACACGAAGAAAGCCTTTCACAAGCAACTTCAACTAACGACATACTTTTATTTTGAAGGAAACCTACATAATTTCCTGTATTTTTCCAGCGTGTGTCTGACTTGACGCACCTGCAAAGGCACCCATTCAATTAAAACCGACCTCACAGACGAGTGCCTCCAAGCGGCCAGCGTTACAATAACATCAACTATTCAAAAATGATTCTGGGGACCATTATTTCTCCACCAAAGCATAATCCCATTATAAATTATTTACATGTTCCTCATAATAGCTTCTGTATTTATTCTTCATTGAGTCTGGAACTTTCTTCATGGCAAAATAGTGAAGAGAAGTCCGATGAGACTCTGCCTCAAAGGGCACATGCATAATCTTAAAATTTTATGAGCGTGGGCCTAAATAAAGAAAGCATTCATATGCTTGTCAGACAGCCAGTGGTGGCTGTAATTTGCAGCAATGTAGAGTAGTTTGTGTTGATAAATGTCCTGTAGAGCTGAAGGGAGCAGCTCATTTTGTAGATTTAAGGTGAAGTTGTGATGTATTATTTGCCACAGTATGTGTTAGTTGTACTAATGCAAAATATTCTATATTGTTTCTTTTTACCAACAGTAACTCCCCAGGTGACATATATTTCAGCATGAATAATGGCATCTTTTGTAAGCCTGTGGTATAAACAAACTACTGTTTCACCACAATAAGTGTAAGTGTAAGAAAGGATACAATGCACTTTGCTCTAATGTCTCCGTCAGCCTCACAAATGAGGAACTGGCTGTTAGATAATAGTGAAACAGACTTCTCTTGAGTGTGTGCATCAGGATTTTTCACTGAGGTGTTTGCACACCAGAGAAACAGAGAAGGAAAAAGAAAACAGAGAAAGAAAGAAGGAGTGGGAACTAGAAGCAACAGTCTAAGATGCTTTCAAAGAGAGAAAGGCCTTGTCCTTTTGAGGTCCTTTTTCTATTGTTGTCCACTACGAGCCAGACTCTTGGGTCTCCTCCACAATGCAGGTCCCCTCAGAGCAGCGCACCACTGGCTGTCCTGTCACTTCACATTAGTGTCTTTGTGGAGAACAGCAGCCCCTGAGGGCATGGACACACTTGTCATGAAAGAAGTGTTCTGGACACACACACATGCACACAAAGTGAGTCGATAAGGAGGTGTTGGGCAAAATGGGCAAAATGGGAACACAAGGAAAACCTCCATCAAGGCTTCTAATAGAACTATGACAGTGACCTTATTTCAGCCACGGCTCTCCTCTTTCAGTCTCACTCTCTCCCACCCACCCACATACATGCACACACAGACATTTTTTATGGCACACATTCGGAAAACATGCCCTCATAAGAAATGCAGTTTTGAATGAGTGAGCTTCATGCATACAAGAAGTGCAGGGCAGCCATTAATGTATTCTAGTAGTAGCTATTGCACTTACTAGCTTCATGTGTAACAGTAAAACATGACATGTGTTACAAACAAATTGGTTAATGCCACTTAAATTGTTCCTACATTTAATAACACTTTAGGCCCACTGTTCAGACTGGTGTGTCAGTTCTTACTAAGGCAGGTAGCCATGCTTTGTCTAAACCTACAGAACTTAAGGTTAAAATGCTTCCAAAGATAGAAAATATATTCGCCTGAAATGTGTAAAGAATGATGGACAAGACATAATACTGTAGCCGTAAATTCTGGTGATCTAGATTTGAATATTTCACATAGTATAAACATCATTTTTGGAACAGGCAGAATGAAAGGTTAAGAAGTTATTTTTCTTGGCCTTGAAAACTGTAAATTCCAACTCAAGGTGCACTTACTAGCTTTCCCCAGAGCTTTTAACCACAATACAAACTCTTTCTCATCCTTGTTGACATGCAAGCTCTGTAGCTGTTATAATTGAATCCATTAAGACAACTAAGCACACACTCCATCAGCTGATGAAGACGGTGTGATATGGTTAAAAAGCTCCAGAAAAAGCTAGCAAGTGGCTTGTTTTATCCAAGAGCACATGGCCCATATGTGGTACTGTAGTCTAGCCATAAAAAATGGATAAACCACCTGACTGTGCACAGATTACATAACACAATGAAGAATGTGCCTAAGAATGCTTATCTGAGGCAAGAAAATATGACTAGAATAAAAAATTCCCAGAGCAAGGACAAACTATCAGTTATCAGCAGACCTAGAGGAGCAGGTGGAGGATATGTGTATGGGGTGCTGCTAAGACGCTCAAGCTGCTTCAAATTAATCACGATGCTTATTTTTTCAGTTTCATGATTAAAGAAAATATATAATCCCCCCCCCTTTAAAAAACTACCCAAAATCGTGCCTGCTCGCTTGCTTCCATAAACATCCCGAGGTTATTTTTGGCGATGGGGGGAGGAGCTCCTCCTGGGCCCCGGCTGGACGCAGGTGGGCAGGGCGGCGTGGGACGGCGGAGGAGAAAGGAGGAGAGGAGCGGCACTTTAAAAGGAGCAGAGCGGAGGAGTGTGTGATGAAATCAGATGTGAAGTGTTCCCTCACTCAGTCCGCAGACACGTAAAAGATTAATCAAGCTGGTGGTGAGGAGGGAGAGGTGGGACCTGCCTCCGCGCACTCCGAGAGAGGAGGGAGGAGGGTGACTGGGAGAGTTGCTTTTAAGATCTTTTCTATTATAAATCATACCGAGCAGGGGGCTACCCAGGAGGCAAATGGAGATCCAAACAAAAGGTCTGTGTGGAGAAAGGGATCAGGGCAAGGAGCATTTGGAGAGAAAGGGAAAAGGGGTGAAGGAAGTGAACAAGAGCAGAAGTAGAGTGTTAAGAAATTTGCCATAAAAATAGAACTTTAACCTGGAAAGTGGCCCCACTGAGACTAAAAGGGACGTCCAACATAAGGGGGACCTGTAAGAATCTTAATTGCTTTAATTATTGTTGTAGGGAACTTTAAAATAAAAGATTATGTACGGGGGGAGACGTTTGGTTTGTATGCAAAAAAAAATCCACATAACTGAGAATAAATTTGGCTTCCATTTTGAATAATAACCCTATATTCTAGTGCGGTGGGGTGCTTTTTTTTTTTTTTTTAAACTTGTCAGAGTGGAGTTTGAACCTATGACCACAAGATGGCGCCTCAGTGTTACTGTAATCTCCCATCAGCGGCAGCATCATTAATAGCAGCTAAATTAACCCGGCGCCCCTTCCTCAACACACGCTCACAGACCTGAGTGTGAGACACTAACATTAGTACACAAACACCAGTATGGACCTTTAAGGGTTCCTCACAAATAAATGCCCTTTTGTGTTGGATTTACACTTTATATGTCCTAATTCAAATTGCCATGAACCCCTTTTTTAAATTAGCTTCATGTATCCGGTCACCATGACAGTAAATTGATCGCCGCTGTTTAAACACATTTGAAAATAACGAGCGCGCACTTTCTCTGCTGCCAACACCACAGACAGCTTTCACAAACCAGTTTACGCACTCAGTCAGCCACATCCCAGTTCCCCTCCCGGTTGACTACCCCACTACCAAACACCACCAACCTCCCACCCCTCCTCCACCTCCTCCTCCTTTTTTTACACACCGGCTCGCAACCACCCACCCCAGTCAGTCACCTCAAGTGCGACCGGCCGGCTGGAGCAGCGGAGGCAAACAAACAGACCCAGGCCAGCCAGGGCGACCCTGCCGCGTGTTTTTGGCTCAATCAAAGAGACACCGGAGCACAAGAGGAGAATGGGACGCCGGTGCTTGGATCAGGACTGAGTCTGGTCGGCACGTTTAGAGCTTCTCCGACCCGTTTCCAAGTCCTTTTTCTAACCGGCTCAGAGTCACGTTTTCGCCGCTGACACAATGGGCTGCTGCAGCGGACGATGCACTCTCATCTTTATTTGCACTTTACAGTTGGTGAGTTGATCCGTACTTCTTCTCTACTTGTTGTTTCACAAGTTTTAATTGTGAGACAAAAAGGCTTCAGTGTTACCGTAATATTTTTTTTTAGAATGACAAACTACTTTATAATTGAATGTCTGTTTTAACTGGGCAGTAATCCATGCTCTTTTGAAGGCGGAGTGTCACATGTTGAAAACCGATAACATGAAAATATCAGTCCATCCTAAAAGTTCTTTAACTCACTGTAAGTACATGACACACTACAAATAGGTAATATATTTTCTTACACACCTTGACTTCTGTTGATATTTGCTTAAATTGCATTTAATAGAAATCATGTGAGCCTTGATTGATAGATTTTGTGTCCATTCTAAGTAAGTAGTGTTTATTTCTTTATCTGAGATTCACTGTTGTGACAGTAAACACAATGTTGCTAACAAGTCAGCTCCTCTCAGCACTAACACCCCCAAGTAGTGGCACAGTGATGGACAGTATTGGGGTAACTATATGCTGTGTGATGCTCGATGAAAGTGCATCAATAAATGTATGGATTTGCTCTTGTGAATATTGTAATGGTGACCTAAATATCCTAATATGTATTCAAATACGGAGCATCACCTAAAGTGTCGCAGCCATGTAGTTCTGTGTTGGGTATCAGTTATTTGATCAAAGCTCATGTCTGTATTTCAGATGAGTGTCCACCTGATGTCTTGTGATGTAAGACATCTTCTCTGATCTTTTAGATTTAAGGGATATGTTCACCAAGAGCTCGGGCCATTTTGGGAAGCATTGATCCACAAAACAGAGAGAGATGTACAGCTTGTTGGAGCATTTCAGTTTCTGATCAGTGAACTTGACATTTTACTGATGGTAGCTGTGCAGTCTCAGATGATGCTTCCCATTGACTCACAGGCCAGCCCGACTTTGCCACTATCCTAGAGTAGAGTATACTTGACAGGGTGTGACAAGGTTATTTATGGTAGTATTAAAACTGAGCTTACTCACACCATAAGCCCTCGAGTAAATGTCGCTTTTAACAGCTAGGGGAGTAATAAAATCTTCTCCTGACAAAGAGCCAAATGGGAAAGTTCTGATATATTATAACACGCTTGAGTGAGTTCAGAAACAAAAGAAAAATGGCACACAGAATAAAAGGAAAGCCCATGATGGGAGGTGGCAGTTGATATCAGCCATAACTGAGTTGAAAAAGAAAACCCAAGTTTCATACCACTGACTAAGTAATAACACTTGCCCCTCCCATTGAATAATCTTTTATTCCCCCAAGCCAACATCTCAAGACCCCTTCAGAGGTCTCTCTCAGAGTTACAGGTTTTTTGCTTCTGTTGGGTAGGTACACACTGTCTCAAGCTTATGCACTTAAAAGTATAAGAGGGTGTTCATTTAGATTCAGGTTTAAATGCTTGTTCAGTGGAATAAAGATGGAAGTGTCATTTGAATGACTTCCTACCGCCTTTGGCTTTAGTATCCTGCTGCCCTTTCCCCACTTCATCTTCAAAATTAACATAGGACTGCTGTGTATTTGTGGATGCTACCTGTGTATCTGTCTCGTTTCAGCTCTGGGAATTCATTAGATAGTGAGGAATAAGGAACTCGAGTCTATATGGCTTAGGTCACAATGGCCTCAGCATTGCTCCCTTAGTAAAATCATGTCTCACTCTGATGATACACACACACACACACACACACACAGAGCTATGAACCCACCTTGAGGGACACACCCGTTTTCCCTTCCCAGACTTCGGACCTCTTTGCCTCATTAGAGAGAAGGAGGTCGACCATTTGTTAAGAGGTTTATAAAGCTGTCAGCGGGCTGCCTAAAAAGTCCCTGAAGACTCCTGGAAACAGCTTTATTTTCCCCTGGCACTATTTCTGGATGACCTGACACTTCCTGTCTGCAGGAACACACACACACACTCACACATTCACACCTGCACACTTCTGATGAGTTTAACCTGCAAAGAGGGGTTGCATTAAACCCTGCATAACCTTTCTGAAAGGTCATCAAGGTTGTAAGCGTGTGTGTTATATGTGCGTGCGTGTGTCTATGTGTGCGTGTTCACATGAATATACATGTGTGCATGTGTGTGGAGCGGCACAGGGGGCCCCCACTCTCCCCTGGCTGAAACCTATGCATTGACAATGAGCCAGGTTATTCCCAGTCCATTACAGGATAAAACTACCATTAACAAAACAACATACTCTGCTCCTCAGATGTAAAAATAGCCCTTGTGAACCGCTGTGTGTGCTAATTAGCCAGGCAGAGTGCTTTGATCAAACCTCTTTTGGCATCTCGGCCATCCCCTAATTGAATTGTGGTGCGCTTTCCTCATCAACAGGCCGAGCGGTGGGACTCATCTCTCTGGGACAGAAGGCAACAGATAATGAGCCGGTATTGATCGAAACGCCTCTGTTCCCTCTTCCCTCTACAGCCTAACTATTCCAGACAGTAGGGCTGGATCGTTGTCAGAACCCCGATCAGCCCCAGAGAATGGCAAGCGTTGGCAGGAAGCCCTGTCTGTCTAATGATTTGTTTGTAGTCCGAGACACAGGCAAGCTCATTTTTGTCCCAACGGGTTGGTTGTTTGAGGTGTTGACCTAAAGCTGACCTGCCGTGGAAGCGTTTCGATTGGTCAGATATGAGACCTCGTCCAGACATATTGTGAATGTCAGCGACTGGCCATGAGGAGGGACGTTCTGAATGGAGCTGATGGTTAATGCGGCTCTGTGGACAGTGTGTGATTGATGAAGGAGGCCTCTTTGTTGGTCATGGTGGTTTTCCGGGAAAGGGCAGACGGGCACAAACACACACACACACACACACACACACACACATAATCGCACTGAACAAGGGTAATGAGCGCAGATCTGAACATTGACCCTGAAAATGTCTGGCCGTTACTGTGCTGGTAGCACTGACGGATGCAGCCTCGCCAAGACACAGACACTATTTCATGCATCCCTCTTCACACTCAGACACACCCACAGACACAGCTGCGCATTCTGAACTGTGAGTTATAGGTTAGTAGGTCTAGTGTTGGGTAAAGATTACAGCCTTTGTATGAGGGGAGGGAGTGCAGCTTTGTGGACCTCCTGAAGAGATGAGAGAAATGAAGCAAAGAGCTGGAAGGGATTTTATTTGATCACAAGGAGAAAAAGGTGTCTATGTTGTCACATTGCACGTCTTCATTTGTGCCTATGTAGGACAAAGCGCTTTCAGCGAAGTGATCCGCAGAGGCCGCAAGAAATGAGCAAGTTTTACCTCATCTACGCCCTTAAAAACTACAGTCACCCTACCCACGAGCACTGTGTGTAATATCTTGCATCACACTGCCCACTTTTCTTCTACTCTTTTGATGACATAGCTAGAGAATATACTTTGTAGTGAAGGCTTCAGTGAAGAAGACTGAGTTCAACCAAAGTGCTTCCAATAAAGTTTTTGCGGAGAAGCAGAGCGTCTCCTCCTGAAAAGTGTTATCTCTAAAGGCATGACATTATCCCTTGGCAGACACGTCATCTCCCACACATTACAAAGGATTTAGGCTGTTTTTCTCCGTGCTTCCACTGCTAACTTATTTGCTTTATGGAAGCACTAACATTCAAATTTGCTGTTGAATATTCATGAGCTTAGAGATGCTGGATGTCTATCAACATACTGTCTCCCCCACCTCACCAATCTGTGTCTGTCAGCACATGTGTGCTGACAGACACACGCATACATGCACACACACAAGGTCTTTGCCAATAGCTTTGATATTAATGCATCTCACCGCTGTAATTAAGAATAATTACTGCAGCTGGGGCAAATTGCATGGCAATAAAATATTGTATGCTGTCAGGCCAGCAGACCTGGTTGTGAGAGTTACTACTACTGTATAATCCTGGTCTGTCTTGCCAGTTCCCAGGAGAGGTGATATATCAAAACCTGGTAACTAGTGAAATATGAAAGCTGTTCTTGGCAAGTGCAGGAAGATTTAAATTTTATCAGTTACAGATGCTACAGACATCTGTTTAGGGTATCTCTTTTGGTGGGTGTTTTGCTGAGTGTATGTAACTTCTTTAGAGTGTCTGTGCGAGTGTGGAGGCTGGTGTGATCAATGATAATGAACTGTATTTCCTTGGCACTGCCAGGTTGATGGAGGAGATGGGCCAGCGGGAATAGAGTGGATGGTCACAGTTATTTTATCTCTCTGTTTCTTTCCCTTAGTCTTTACCTCTCTGGGTCTGCTATTAAGTTCTCATGAAGCCTCTCTGGACTCTGATTCATATCGTTGTGAGCAGAAACACATTTTTTTTTTACTATTTGCTTTGGCTTGCACAGATGGCTGCAGAATAAGATAGCATCCCTGTCTGAATTACCCGTGCAGACACAAAATATGGTGTCTGTGTGTGTTAGACACAGCTTGTTGTACAGAGATGGGTTCCTCATAAACTAGGTGTTTCCGCCAAATGCCAACAGATGCCAACAGCAATATATTTGTTGGCTTCTTAGTTAATTTCATATTTTATAAAGTACTTTTAAATGGATCTGTACCCATATGTGCTTTAAGTTACTGCTAATAACATACAGGTTATGCAATGATGACTGAACTCATCAGCTGTGTGCTGGGGGTGGGGGTCATAATCTACTCCACGAAGCCTTATGCAACTCATAGTCAATTATCTAGAACCCAGCAAGCATGAATCAACAAAGCCAAGTTTTTGCGTAAGCTTGCCTCATAAACCTTCTTGATCAGAAAAAATGCAAGAACATTCAAAGCAGTGGTTGCTAATGTTTGTAATGGCGTTTTTACAAAGCATGTTCTTATCTTTTTCAAAAGCTTCAAGTTTTTAAAGTTCAAAGGAATGAACTAACACTTCTTTCAAATGTAACCCATATATGTAGCGTAACGATCAGCACAGCTTTGCTCACTAGTGTCCTCCTCCACTCATATTTATTAGCTTAATTTACTGATAGGTCAGTAGGGCATGTAGTAGGTCAAGCTAATAGGCTGAGT